AAGGGTCACCAGACCTAAAATGTCATCTCTGATTTCTCTTCATAGTTGCTGCCAGATCTGCTGAGTTTTTCCAGCAATTTCCATTTTTGTTTCCCACCTATTTCATGATGTCCAGAATATCATCATTTCTCGGTGATCTCCTCAGATAGGCAGAAAAAGGAGCTTTTTTTTTCCTCAGGATATGCTGACATTTATGAAGTGGGGTACCTCAGTTAGACAATAAGGAGCAATGGTCATGACACTATGTGAATCCCACTTGATGTTCTCAGGGTAACTAGGGATAGGCAATAAACATTGTCCACACATAAATACATTGCAACAACCTTTACAATAAACAACTCAGTTATAGTTGATTCTAAAGGCAAAACCAAAGCACTAAGAGATCAATTTTCCAGTCATTTTCTAGAAAAGATTGAACTCAAATGACAATCATAGATAGTGATTCATATTAGACATGGTAAAACTATTTATAAACAAAAGACAGAATGTTAAAATATTGCAAGAAAGAAATCTTAACAAAGCCCCAGTTCGCAATGAACTGCCTCTCCGGATCTTTAAGGTAGCTGCTGATGAACTGGTTCCAATATTGATCACTCTCTTTTGTAATGAAAGATGTATAACAGATATTATTATCATTTTTGGAACTTAGATTGTTTCTAAAAAAAAGAGAGGCCAGTGAATTTTGGTTACTGTTGTGAAGGTATTTTTGTAAGGTCAGCAAGATGTTGTCAAATTTGAAAGGGTGCAGAAAAGATTTACAAAGATGTTGCCAGAATTGGAGGGTTTGAGCTACAGGAAGACGTTGAATAGGCAGGGGCTATTTTCTCTGGAGTGTCAGAGACTGAGGGATGACCTTGCAGGGATTTATAAAATCATGAGGGGCATAGATAGGATGAATAGCCAAGGTCTTTTCCCCAGGGTAGGAGAGTCCAAAGCTAGAGGGCATGAGTTTAAGATGAGGGGGGGCTGGGGGGAGATTTAAAAGGGACCTAAGGTGCAACCTTTTCACTCAGAGGGTGGTGTATGTGTGGAATGAGCTGCCAGAGGAAGTGGTGGAGGTTGGTACAATTACAACATTTAAAAGGCATCGGGATGGGTATGTGAATAGGAAGGGTTCAGAGGGATATGGGCCAAATGCTGGCAAATGGTACTAGATGAATTTAGGATATCTGGTTGGCACAGACAAGTTGGACTGAAGGATCTGTTTCCTTGCCATACATCTCTATGACCCTATGACTCTAATGCATTATGAATCTAACAGTGCTCAGAAAGCATGTGACTAAACACCCATTTATACTGTTGGGATTGTGATAGATTGGGTAAACACAGTTAAGGCAATCAGCTTTGTTTCCAGCTCAGTTCAGAAGAATCAAGAGTTGAATTCAGAAGCAAGCTTTTTTCCTGTTTAGTTCAGAAAATACCAGAGTTCAGAAGCAAGTTTTAGTTTATTTCAGAGCAGGATTTTTTTCAGGATAGTTCAAGGGAAGCCAAGCACCTCAGCAAACATCCAAATATTCACAACACATTGATTGAAGAAATTTCTCCTGATCTCATACTAATATGATTCACTCCTTAGCCTGAAACTGTGCTCCCCTTGTTCACGATTTCCGAGTCAGATAAACAACCTCACAATGTCTACCCTGTCATGAACCTTCAGGTTCTTGACTGTTTCGATGAAATTTATTCTAATTTTTCAAACTTCCAGAGGAATTGGCTCGATTTACTCAGTCTCCCATCATAGGACAATCCCCATATCCTGGGGATCACTCTAGCAAACCTGCACTGTACCATCTCCAAGGCAATAAGTAACACAGGAACACAGTAGGCCATTCAGCCCCTCAAAACTGTTCATCTACACATTGAAATCATAGCTATCTAGGGCCTAACTCCATATACCTGCCTTTGGCCCATATCCCTTAATACCTTTGCTAAGCAAAAAAATCTATTTCAGATTTAAAATTAACAACTGATCTAAGCATCAACTGCCATTTGTAGAAAAGAGTTCCAAACTTCTCCTACCCTTTGTGCGTAGAAGTGCTCCCTAACATCTCTCCCTACTTTTCGGCAGGTCCATGAAGTCTCTTACCAATTTTTTAGGTGCACCATAGGAAGCATCCTGTCCGATGCATCATGGCTTGGCATGGCAACTGGTCTGCCCAGGACCCATAAGAAACTAGAGAGATTTGTGAATACAGCCCAGTCTATTAGGCAAGCCAAACTTCCATCCATTGACTCCATCTATTCTTCCCACTGCCTTGGGAAGGCAGCCAATATAATCAAAGACCCCTCCCACCCTGTTTTAATTTCTTCCAACCTCTTCCATCGGGCCAAAAGCTTAAACACAAGTACTAACAGATTCAAGAACAGCTTCTTCCCTGCTGTTATTAGACTTCTGAATGGCCTCTCAAATTTTAAGCTTAATGTTGATCTCGCGGTCTGTGCTCCTTCTCTGCAGCCGTAACATTGTATTCCTTGCTCTGTTCTATTGCCCTAATGCACATTGTACAGTATGATCTGCCTGTACTAAACGCAAAACAGAACTTTTCACTGTATCTAGGTGCATGTGACAACAATAAATCAAATCAAATTTAGGCTATGCCCCCTAATTCTAGAATCTCCAATCAGTGAAAGTGGTTTATCTTTATCTATCCTGTCTTTTCTGGTCAATATCTTAAAGACTTTGATCAGATCATCCTTTTAATTTTTAGAGAAAATGGTCCCAATTTGTAAAATCTCTCCACATAACTTGACCCCTGAAGTCCAGGTAACATTCCTGTAAACCTACATAGTACTCCCTCCAAGGCTGATCTATCCTCCCTAAGGTGTGGTGCCCAGATCTGCTAACAGTACTCCATGTGGTGTCTAACCAGAGTTTTGTATAACTAAAGCATAACTTTATACTTCTTATACTCCAGTCCTCTAGATATAAAGGCCAGTATTCCATTAGCTTTCTTGATTTTAGATATTTTCTGCTTGTGACATTTTAAGGGTCCATGCATCTGAACCCCGAGTCTTTGGATATTCATTGTATTTAACTTCACACCATCTAGAAAACACCCTGATCTATCATTTTTATTTGGTCCAAAATGGATACCCTCACACTTGTTTACATTGAAATCTATCTGCCACAGTTTTGTCCATTCACCTAGTCTATCAATATCCTTCTGAAATTATAATTATACAATAAAGGCCAATATGATATTTGCCTTCCCCATTGTTGGCTGCACTTGCATGCCAATTTCCTTTGTTACTTGTATGAGTACAACCTCTGAACATCAATATTTACAAGTTTCATATTTTTAAAAATTTCTTCTGCTTTATGATTCTTATGATCAAATTGAGTAATCCCTCAGTTCCTCAAATTAACTTCATCTGCTAATTTGCTGCCCATTTGTTTAACTGTCTATTTATTTACAGCTTCTGCATTCCATTCAGAGGTTTCACTGCCATCAAGCTCTGTATTTTCAGCAAATTAAGGTGCATCACCCTCAGTTTCTTCATGAGTCATTAATTTAGATCATAAATAGCTGAGGCCTCACCACTGATCCTTGCCACATTGCCTGCCAACTGAAAGTGCCCCAAATATCCCTGTTCCCTGTTTGTTAACCGATCTGTAGTAATATATTACTCAATATTTCGAGAAACGTTATCTTGCAAATTAACCTCTGGTGTCATACCCTATTGAATGTGTTTTGGAAGTCTAAGCATGCAACATCTACTGACTCCCCTTTATTTACCTGACTTCCTATATACTCAAAAATCAAATAAATTCGTCAAACACAATTTCCCTTTCAGAAAATCATGCTGACTTTGTCATGTCCTATTATAATTTTCTAAGTGCCTTGTTAAGACTTCTTTAATGATAGATTCCAGTGTTTTCTGACTGGGCTAAAGCTCTGTTTTCTCCTTTCCTCTTTCCTTGAATAAGCATATAAGGGGGAAAGGAATAGAAGGATGTGGGATCCACTGAGGTTAAGGGCAGACCAAGGCTTGTGTAAAAAACAAACAGCTGTATTGACCAATTGGGCTGAATGGCCTATTTCAATGCTGCACAATATATGCAAAAAAAAGGTGAAACAGAATAAATCCAGAAATCTCCAGCATTTGTCTCCTGAATTTTGGGGGTACCTGGTGTTGAGTTAATTGCACCCAAGCTTGCAGAAATAATGACATAGAGGTGATGCCACTGGACTAATAATGGAGATGCCAGGCTAGTGGTCTGGGAACATGGAACATGGGTTCAAATTCCACCACTGCATCTGTAATCTCACTTTTGTCTCAATAATGGTGACTATGAAACTAATTCTGATTGCTGTAACTCCAATAGAGAAGGATATATGACCATTCCTGGTCTGACTGACATATGACTCCAACTGTCCTCTGAAATGGCCCAGCAAACCACCCAGTTCAAGGGTAATTGGGGATGGGCAACAAATGCCAGCAACACCGGGATCCCAAAAAAGAATAGAAAGTGGAGCTGAGCTCTGGGCTTGAGTTCCCGGCTTCCAGAGAATCAGTGATTGGAGCCAAATGTTGGGTATTGGAGAAAGTGCCCCTGCAATCACAGAGACTGAGGTTGCTAAACAACAAAGGCCCCAGGAGTCATTACTTTATTTGTACAAGACAACGAGGGAGTTAGTTTGTAGAAGTGACTGCCTCGTTAATCTGTTAAAAAAAACCGATTAACATTCGGATTTGGATCCGGATCAATCGCAATGCAAGGGAAAACACTTGGCAGCGGTGTAGGTACGCGTACACACACACACACACACACACACACACCACCCCCCCCCCACACACACACACACACACACACACAGAGACAGGGAGAGAGAGAGAGAGACACAGCTCCTCCTGGTTTCAAGGACGCACAGGCAGGAGCATCGCGCGCCGTCTCCATGGGGATCGCGCAGTGAAATTGACACAGATGTTAGTTACTACCTGAGCAGTGGGTGGGGAGCAAGCGTTTGGATACGGGGTGTGGGAGAGACCCTCCTTACCTGCAACCTTTCTCAGCCATGGTACAGCGCAGCTCCAAGCAGAATGCACACCTCCAAACTGGGTTCCGCCCTCCAGCCCTCCCACCTTCTAGGAATTAAGCAGCCTGGGCTGACGTCTGGTGTGTGGGGGATGGGTCAGGCACACAATAGCAGGATCTCATTCAGTTTTCCTGTGGGCTATGTGATTGGAATCGGGGATAACAGCATCCCGGCTTTCCTCCGGGGAAAACAGTCCGAACGTAACGCCATCTTTCATCGTTTTGCTGGACTACAATGAAATCAGAAATCATTTCTTGTTCTGTCGAGTACATCACGGACCCCAGCCGCAAACTGTGAACTGCCCTGCACGTTTTGAGTGGAAGGTTCATTAGTGCCTCTTCATTTTTATAGGAAACGGCACAAACGCCACTGACCTGAAATAACAGATGTGGAAAAAAAATGTAAACCGGCAACTCAGCAGTATAAGAACAGGCAATACGGCAAATACAGAACAGGTCTGACAGCACCTCTGGAGAGAGAGAGAGAACACGCCTGTGGGCATTTAGTGGGTGGCAGCCAGAGTGGGCAACACAATAGGCAGTTCGAGGTCGTCATCCAGCTGGCAGCGCAATGGCAGAAGCAGAATGGGCACAACTGCGAGGGTAATACCAGCTGAGGCCGGGGAGAGCAACGAGAGCATGATTCTCAGTGGGCCATATGGCCTGTTCCTGTTTCTCACAGCCTGTGTTGAGAGTATGTCTCCTATGGTCTTCCTGCCCCCCCAGTCCTCTCCTCTACCCTCTAGATGGCAGGGGCTCTGACTCTCCTGTGGAAGATGCTGCTGCTCATCGTCACTGAGCCCAAACTCCAAGAGTCTTGCTCCCATTGTCAGCTGCTGCCTTTCTTGCGTTCAATGGTATGCACTACTTTTATATTTCACTACTCTTACGGTAAAGGTCAACATTCCATTTGCCTTGCCAATTACTTGTGCTACCTGCACAATAACATTATATTTCAAGCACAAGGACACCCTGAAAACTCTGTTTTGCAGCATTCTGCACTCTCACTCCATTTCAGAAATATTCCGCTTCTCTATTCTTCCTGCCAAAGTGGACAACCTCACATTTCCCACTCCTTCCGCCAAATTTTTGGTCGTCCTTTTATACCCTTTGTAACTCTTTCTTGATTCTGTGTCTCCTCTTCACGGCTATTGAGATTTGAATCATCAGCAACCTTGGCTGCTATATGGTCAGTCCCTCCATCCAGGTCATTGATGTAGATGGTAAATTGTTGAGGTCTGAGCACTGACCACTCTGGTACTTCAGCAGTTAGTTTTACAACCTGAAAAAAAGCATTTATTTCAACTCCCTGTTTGCTGATTGTTAGCCAATCCCTGCTATTATATCACACACTCTATCAACTATTGAGTAGGAAATTTGGAAGATTGCAACCAATGCATCCATTATCTTTGTAGTCACTTCTTCTCCCAGTCCTGTGCACTTTCAGACTTCAGTCCCTTTAGTTTTCTGGTACATTTCCTGTAGTGCTAATGATTGTTTTAAGTTTTGTGTCTTCCGTTTAACCCCTTTTTTATTATTCGTGGGACATATTTTCTGTCTTCTGTTGTGAAGATAGACGAAGTACTTGTTCAAAGTCTCTACTATTTCCTTGTTTCACATTATTAATTGGCCAGTCTGACCTCTTAAGAGACTAATATTTACTTTAGCTATTTTCTTCCTTCTTATATACTTGTAAATGCTTTATTGTCTTTTAAAATATATTTCCTGTTAGTTTTCCTTTCCAACCCAATTTCTCCTGCTTTATTGTATTTTTCATCAGCCTTAGTTGGTTTCTAAAATGTTTCCAATTTCCTGGGCTACCAAGAATCTTTGCAGAGATTTCTCTCAGTTTGAAACCAAAATTTTCTTAACTTGCTTAGTGAACCACACATAGTTCATCCTTGACAGTTTTCTCTTTAATGTTATTTATCTTTGTTGAGAGTCATGAGATACATCCATGAACGTCTGCAACTAATCCTCTACCATGTGCCCTTTTAACCTATTTATTCAGCCTGCTTTAGCTAATTCTGTCTTCATATCCTTATAATTGCTTTTATTTAATTTTAAGATTCTAGTTTTGGACTCACATTTCTCATCCTCAAATGCAATTTGATCAAATCCAATTTCATCATGTTATGTGCATTCTTGCTGAGAAAATATTTAACTGTGAGGTCAATAATTAATCCTATCTCTGTTTTCAAAATTACTAGGTCTAAAATAGCTTGCTTGCTGGTTGCTATGAGAATGTATCATCTAAAAAGCTATCCCAAATAAATTTAATCACCAGGCTAACGTTGCCAGTTTGATTTGTTCAATGTAAATGAAAAGTAAAATTGTCCACAATGCTTGCATTATCTTTCTTACAACTTCCCATTATTTCTCGATGTATATTCTGTCCTACTATGTACCTACTATCAACTGTTCCCAACAATGTCTCACGTCCTTTGTCACTTATCTCCATTCAAACTGAGACTATGCCTTGACTTATTAAATTAAGATCATTTCTCATGATGGTACCGATCTCATACTTTGTTAACGTAGCCATCCCACAATTTCTTCCTGCCCTTCTTGGATGTCAAATTATCTTGAAATAAGCTTTGGTCACCTTATAACCACATCTATGCAATGGCTATCATATAATACTCATTCATTTCTATTAATTCATCCACCTTGTTGGGAATACTGTGTGCATTCAAATGAAGCACCTGTCTTTTTGTAGTTTTCCAACTCTGACCTTATTGTCTGATGATTTATTATGTTCGTACATTCCATCCATTCTTGATACTGCATCTCCTTGGCAGCTTGTCATTCCATATGTCACTGATGGATAATCACATTCATTTAGCATCAGATGCCTCCTCACAAAGACAGAGGACAAAGGACTTTATGCCATCACTTAATGCCCTCAGGTGCAAGGCATCATCAATGGCATCCATGTGGTTGTCAGTATGCCCAGTGGTGGACCAGTGAGATTAACCAATAGGAAGGGCCTGCACTCATTCTGTTCAACCATCCCACTAAGCATTTCCTCCACGTGTGCTTGCATTCCTGGCCGCTGGCATGACACCGTCATTCTCCAGCAGTTCAGGCAGTTGCAGATCTTCATTTCAACCCTCAAACTGTGGATGGATCCTTGGGGACAAGGGATGTGACTTGAGGAGGTAGTTTTTCACCCGGGTACAGGAGCCTCAGACAGAACCAATACAAACAATGCCCCCTGCTAGGAAGGACAATAGATGAGCTCAACATCAAGCTTCTGAAGATGTGGTTCTGGTGCCTGGACCAATCAGGTGGTCACCTCCAATTGAACACTGAGGGATCCTGGAAGTCCTTTTCCTTAAGAGAGCTAGGAATCTCTGCTTCCTTCAGTAGAGGACATGGTTTCAGGTGGGAGTGAGACAGTCTTCATTGGGATACCACAATTATGTGATCAGAAGGGTCATTTCCTGTCATTATTCATTGTTCATCTTTCGGTTATGAGAGATTGCCATGTGCAAACTGACATCATTTCCCTACTTTACAGCAATGGCAACACTTCAAAGAATATTTGGCTGAACATGAAGCATTTTATGAGATGTCCTGAGGACGTAATGAGTCATAGAGTCATACAGCACACAAACAGACTCTTCAGTCTGACTCGTCGTGCCAACTATAATTGACCTAGTCCCATTTGCCAGCATTTGGCCCATGTCTCTCTATAGCCTTCCTATTCATATACTCGTCCAAATGCCCTTTAAATGTTGCAATTGTACCAGCCTCCAACACCTCCTCTGGCAGCTTGTTCCATATATGCACCACCCTCTGCATGAAAAAGTTGCCCCTCAGGTCCTTTTTAAATTTTTCCCCTTTCACCTTAAACCTATGTCTTCTAGTTTTGGACTTTCCCACCCTAGGAAAAAGACCTTGGCTATTCACCCTATCCATGCCCCTCATGATTTTATGAACCTTCACTAGGTCACCCCTCAGTCTCTGATGCTCCAGGGAAAAAAGCCCCAGCCTATTCAGCCTCTCCCTATATCTCAAACCCTCCAGTCCTGGCAACATCCTTGTAAATCTTTTCTGCTGCGTGTCAAGTTTAACAACATCCTCCCTATTAAAGGGCAACCAGAATTGAATGCAGTATTCTAAAAGTGGCCTCACAAATGTCCTGTACATGGCATACCCAACATAACATCCAACTTCTACACTTAATATTATGACCAATGAAGGTAAGCTGCCAAACATCTTTAAGATTTTAGAGTAGATTTGTAGCTCGGGTTGTGGATGTTCAGGTTGGTTGGCTCGCCGAGCTGGTTCGTTGTTCTGCAGATGTTTCACCACCCTGCTGGGTAACATTATCAGTGCAGCCTCCGATGAAGTGCCAAACACCTTCTTCACCACCCTGTCTGTCTGGGATTCCGCTTTCAAGGAACTATGCACCTGCACCCCTAGGTGTCTTTGTTTGGCAACACACCCTAGGGCCCTACCATTTACTGCATAAGCTCTGCCCCTGGTTTGCCTTGCTAAAATGCAACACCTCACATTTATCTAAATTAAACTCCATCTGCAACTCTTTGGCTCATTGGCCCATCAGGTCCAGGTCCTGATTTACTCTGAGATAACCTATTTTGGTGTCATCTGCAAACTTACTAACCAAACCTCCTATATTAAATCTGAATCATTTATATATATGATGAAAAGCATTGAACTCAGCATTGGTCCTTATGGCACACCGCTGGTCACAGGCCTCCAGTCTGAAAAACATCCCTCCCACACCACCCTTTGTCTCCTACCTTCAAGCCAATTTTGTATCCAAATAGCTAACTTCCCATGTGATCTAACCTTACTTACCAGTCCACAATGGGAAACTTCGTTGAACACTTTATTAAAATCCATATAGATAATGTCTACCGATCTGTATTTATCAATCTGGTTTGTCACCTCTTCAAAAAACTCAATCAAGTTAGTGAGACATGACTTCCCACGCATAAAGCCATACTGCTATCCTTAGTCAGTCCTTGTCTTTTGAAATGCACATAAATTCCAGCACATAAATTCCATCCCTCAGAATCCCCTCCAACAACTTACCCACCACTGATATAAGGC